CTGAAGTTCAGTGTCATTAGGACAAGACAGCGAGAGTTCGCTATGTAGTGCTTCTTGATAGGCTTGCCTGACAGAGGACTGGGACAATTTCTCCGTTGCCAATCGGGGGAGACGCTTTGTGCGCCTTCCGGTAAAGTTCATGGAGAAACGACAGCGCACCAAGGCATGATCAGAGTCGACACAGGTACTCCAGTACGAGTGGCAATCCAGAATGGAACCGCGCCACCTGTAACTTATGGCTATGTGGTCAATTTGGGTCCATCGCTGGCCAGCTACAGGTGGACGCCAAGTGGCACTTCGGCGCCCACTGTGTCTAAAAGCAGTGCTACTAAGAAACAACTGGTGCTCTGCACACAGTTGCAGCAGACGCTCGCCGTTGTCAGTCCGTTCGGAGTTAAGTCCATAATTACCACCCAGCTGAGCTTCTGAGGAGCTCAGACGCCCTACTTGTGCGTTCATATCCCCTGCAAGTACTATAATATCTGAACTAGTAGCACTGCGTAGTAGCGTGTTCAGTTCGTGATAGAAAGTGTCCTTGACAGCATTAGAACTGCAGTCGGTGGGAGCATAAGCAGAAATCACAAACAAGCAGCGTTTTGTTTTACTTCGCGAATTCACCTTAGTTGATGTCGTCAAACGGGCTGCACATAAACGGCTGTTCACCGGAATCCAATCAACCAACGATGACTCAGCCTTGGAGCTGAGAATGATACCTACACCAGCTTGACCCGTGAGTGCCGCATCGGCGTCTTCGGATGCGTGCAACCAATAACGAGAGGATAAGCCGGGTGCAGTCAATTCAATAACCCCGCTAGGGTCATTAATCCTAGGTTCGGACGCACAACACACATCAACACCCAGTGTGTCCAAGATGCTTGCGAGTGCAGCCGGCTGACCTGTTTGTCTTAGAGTGCGGACGTTGAATGTCGCCATGGAAATGGAACAGCGTGGCCTTATAAGGGACTTTTGCCGATAGGCGTCCGATAGGTGCTGTGGGATGGTGGCTGCAGACGGTACTACTCCAGTAGCACTTCGGTTGCTGTCAATTAAGCTGGGAATTATAGAAGGAAGGTTAGTAATAGGGGCCGGGATGGGAGTAAGAGAAAAAGGTGGAAAAGAAAGAAGGGAGGCGCCAGTAGTAGCATGTTTTCGCTTATCCGCCCTGCTGTATGCAGCAGATAAGGCGATCCTTGATAATCTGCGCGACGGCCGATGCAGCATGAAGTTTATGTTTGAAGAAAATGTCATGGTTGTATGTGGGCTGGGATACTGCCAGGGCGCCCAAACCTAGACAGGAGGACGATTAGAGTCCTCATCCAAAGCCTTTGTTTCAAAAGCCTGTCCGCAAGACAGCGGGGAGGTGGCAATGATTTAGTTGTACAGAAATGGACGCCATCCCATTTCAAACCCCCAACCTGGAGGACCAGGAGACTGAGTTTGTCTGACCTCTCACCATTGACCAACCTGGTAGGAGTAGCTCTCAAGATGCTCGGAGGCAACATCCAGTATAGCTCAATGAGGTACGCAAATCGTCGCACCACGTTAAGGTCCAGTCTCGTTGCGACGGACACCACGTTCAGGTCCCGCAGACCAGAACAAACACCACACGGAGCACCAACCGCGCGGACCAAACAGCCGACGGAGCAGGGCGATCACTGGCTGGCGAAGAATCGAACAGTTCTAGCCGATTAAATTGCTTTTCAAAATGCTCAGCCCAACGCTCCAAACGTTTTGACAAATTGTGGATAGGCTGCCCACTCTCGTCACGTATAGCTTCACTAACACCAGGTCTCCTGCTGTCAGTTTCTAGTATCAGACGGAATAACTTGCGATGATTACCACTTCCATTTCTGACGCGCGATGAGACCACCAAGATTCGCGGTCTCGCTTCAGGCTAGCACAGAGACTTGCCCGGAGCTTTTTGCGAGTTTCATTGTGTTCGCTTCCAGTCGCGAAGTGCCGGCGACCGTCGATAAGTTCCAGAGACTGCGAAGAGACCCAATATCCATGTTGGCTATTAGACATATCACATGAGGATTTGCCTGCTGCTGGTAAGGTCTGGTGAACATGTGACCAGTGACCATCCATTGTCTCCAGTGAGCGCTTACTCAATTCGCATGTCAGCGTACTTCGATACGCATTCAGAACACTTGGTTTTGTCAGTTGGCTGGTGTCAATGCGCTCACAGCGTCATCGTGGGCGTCCGCCATAACGCACCCGCAGATCAGCACATACAAGTGTATGATCGGTATCCACACATGTGCTCCAAATCGAGCGACAGTTCTGGATGCAGTCTCTCCAGCGGTAACTAATAGCAATGTGATCGATCTGCGTCCAAGGCTGATTCGAGGCTGGTGGGCGCCAAGTCACCCTCCGGCGGGTGCTGTGTCGGAAGTTAGTGCTCGCAAGAAATAAGCGGGCATCTTCACACAAATGAAGTAACCGCTCACCGTTATCATCATGGGAGCCTACACCGTGCTGACCGCCCAGATGCATTTTATCAGTGGACAGCTTTCCAACTTGTGCGTTCAGATCCACCGCCAGCACAACAGTGTCCGTGCTCCTTCTGTGGCGAAGGAGTTGGGTCAGTTGACGGTAGAAGTCGTCTATTACCGAATCATCGCTCGAGTTTGTGGGCGCGTAGGCAGCGATGACGAATAGACACCTATTAGTTCCTCGCGACTTCGAAGCTTTGAACGAGCCAGCCAATCGGACCGCACATATCCGGCTACCGATTGGAATCCAATCAACCAGAGCAGCTTCAGCCCGGGGACTCATGGCAATACCAACACCAGCTTGGCCGGTGCTCGAAGCTGCATCGCCACCGGATAGGCGCAATGAGAAAATACTGATTGCGTCACCTGAATGGGATCACAAAGTAAGCACAGAGCTCGAGTCTTGCAGGCGGGTCTCTGATAAGCAGCAGATATCGATCGAGAGGGTTTCTAATGCTCCGGCAAGTGCTGCCTGTTGACCGAGCTGTAGTAATGTGCGTACATTGAGGCATGCCAATCTGAAGGAGGATCGAGGGCTCCAAATGGAATGCGGTGAGCTGGAATGGATCGCTTGCTTGGACATGGGCTTGTCAACAGGAGAGGAGTGACACACCGCGTTAGAATGTGAGTTGAAATTAGAAGATAAATGCTTAGCAAAGCATGTTGGGGGAGGGCCAAGAATCAGAGGGGTTGAAAACTGGGGGGATATAAGTGAAGTTGGAACGGGACGGTAAGAGTGAAAAAGCGTAAGAAGGGGAATAAGAAAACGGGAAAGCTTGAGCAGTAGCATCCAAATCCCTATCCACCCTGCCCGATGCAGCAGATAGGGCACCGTTGACTATCCTCTGCGGTGGCAAGAGCATCAAGAAATTGTTTAAGGAGAAATTCATAGTATTGCGTGGGCAGGATACTGTCAGGTTGCCCAGGCCTAAACAGGAGAACGATTAGGGTTCTCAACCAAAGCCTTTGCTTCAAAAACCTTACCGCAATGCAGCGTGTTTGGCTACAAGGAGGCCGTTTTAAAGAATAAGGTGCCACCCTTATTCCAATCCCCAACCTGGATGACCAGGAGGCTGTTTGCCTGGCCTCTAACTATTGACCAGTCTGGTTTGAGTGACTCTGAAGGTGCAAAAGCACCACCCAGCATAGCTCAATGGATCGCTGAGGCACACAAACCATCGCAAAACGGCAAGGTCCAAAGAGTTTCAAGCGGCTTCTAGACAAATATTAGCTGAGAATGCTGGGACCTTGCGGCCATCACTGCACCTGCGACGAACCCTCCAGGGACGTCGTAACGCATCAAGTCCAGAATGATTCGGAATCGATGGAGCCGAGTTTTTCCTCCTGTTCATCATCATCATTACACGTTAGCTGGAGGTGGAAAACACCTCAGCTATTGTGCCGCAATACAAAAGACAAGAAAATAAAAACAAACAGTGACACGTCCGCTGAGTACCCAGTAACGGATGGACATCGTTCCGGAGAGCTAACAGCTGGCTGCTGTAAAAGAGAGTCATATTATGCCTAACAAGTGAGATCGTGATTGGAGGGGGATGGACAAAGGAACTCACAACACAAACGCCATTGGGGCTGGCTCCAAGCCATATCAGCAAGTGTGTCCAACCAAACGTGTTCACCGTCCCTATGACCCCAGCCAGATAGTCGGGATGCATCAACCGACGCCAACTTCGAAGTGAGGGTTTTCATTTCTCTCGACCAAGTCATCACTTGACCTCCCCTCCTCTTCCAACCGCACCCACAACGCGCAAACAATGCACGTCGCGGGAGTCGGTGTGCTGGCATGCGCAACACGTGGCCCAGCCATCGGAGCCTGATGCGTGATATAATGGTGCTGAGCGGTTCACTCGCTCTTCCTGCACCAAATACGCGACGTCGAACACGCTCATTGCTCACGCGGTGTTCTCACCAGACATGAGCTAAGCTGCGAAGGCAGCGATGATCGAATGTGACGAGCCTCTTTACGTCTGTCGACCTGACGGGCCAGGTTTCACAGCCATATAGGAGTTGAACGGACCACAGCCATATAGGAGAGTTGAACGGACAATGAACCTTTCCTACAATCATTTCCTCCTGTTCTTTACAATTTGATGAACCCAAGAAATGCTGGTTCCTTGATGACAAGTCCTGAAGGCACGTTCGATGATTAGGCGTGACACCCGTATTTCCGCTCTAATCCGATGGGACCACGGTTTGTCTAGTTCCTTGAAATGCCAGCGGAGACAAGTTAGCGGGAATGAACAGCTAAAACAAATCAAGTGCAACCAGAATTTCATAGTATAGAGCAGAAAGATCCTACGCCAGCTCTATCACTTCCCATTCATAGAAGGGATGAGTTAGTCAACGCGACAAGATCTGCATGGGGCCGTCAAAGTCGCAATGGAAGCAACAAGATCCACAGGAAGTTTCAGTTCCAAAAGACACGCCCCCATTCATTATGAGGGGTATGACACGGATACCCACGATTACAAGTCAAAAATAATGACATACGATATTCGCGAAAACAGTATATTATGAGTAAAAGGTGAGTAGAAGACAGAGTAATACTCAGGTTTGGTGAAGAGGGTTAGCCAGGTGGCCAACCCAACTGTCTGCCACCAAGAACATGCAAATGCAGATGATAAACGGATTGACAACCATCACGGCCATTATTAACAACCACCCGGTATCCATTATTCAGCTTTCTTTCTTTGGCAACTACGCTGCAAATGTGCATGAGATGGCCAAGCAGCTAAAAGTGAACAGGGTAAAATCAGGATACCTGTTCATCACTGGCTTTAGTAGCATCCAGTGAGGGAATCTGAACTTTAGGAATAACTAAGAAATGCACCGGAGCTTGAGGACTTCTGTCGTTAAACGCTAAGCATATATCATCCTCATAAATAATATCGGCCTTAATTTCTCCGCTGATAATTTTGGAGAAGATGGTCGGCTGACCACTATCTCTGGCTTGATGCGCCTTCTCCACTTCCGTAGACATTGTGGCAAACGTCGAAGTTATTTGAGCAGGATAACTCCACCCGCGTAGTAGCTTGTAAGCAGAGAAAACGCACCTCATGGCCAGTATCAAGGTTATTCACTCACTTGTGCTAAATCTAAATGCATAATCACGAAAGCGGACAGCAGCAATCTTTGAATTATTTGACATTCTTATTCTTTCCATGTACTATATGCTTATTTCGGAATGCATCAGCGTAGTTGCTTCATAGGTAGGCAAATTTTAAAGACTCAATTTCGATTATACCTTGCCTTGCAATGACAGTTTGGAACAGTGTTCGCGAAGTACTGTACGCAATTTACGCACTAAACCATTTTCAAATTGCCCTTATGAGTCTTTTATGTACATTTATTCCGACTGCTTTGCAACTTCACGTTCATTTTGTACAGGAACTGTGAGAAATTCCCATGGGTGGTATTGTAGTGACCTGGAGATTCCCCCGTATGACTGTGTAAACTATTCTAAAATACTCAAATTATAGCTTTCTCATGTATTAGGGAACTATTCGGTTTGCCTGTTGGAACGTTGTTCCCGTTAGTTGGAAACACGAAGACGATCTCCGCCTTTGGCGCGCGACTCGACTGCGAACGACGCTCTGTCAACGCACTCGACGCCAACGACATTCTCCCTAGCTAGCTCTCTCTGGGTGCCCTATTTTTAGCATTAGCTAACGCTCCTCCCGTCCAATAAACTTCTTCCCTAGTTTACTTTTGTGTCTTCTACCCACCGCTTTTGGTTGGCCGTTTAGTCGCGTACCGAGTTTATAGCGCACGATCTACGCGCTACAATTGGTGACCCCGACGTGACACGAACACGCAACCTTCTGATCTGGAGTCAGCTGCGGAAACCGTAACACGCGCTTTTGTAGAGAGCTGGGTCGCTTCACACGGCTGTCCAGCCACAGTGACTACAGACCGCGGTTCGCAATTCAAATCTACGACCTTTAACGATCTCCTTAAACTCATTGGATGCCAACGCATTCGCACGACCGCCTATCATCCGCAAGCGAACTGCATGGTGGAACGTTTCCACCGACAGTTGAAAGCCTCACTTAGCGCCGCCAATGCGCTGAGTTGGACTGAGGTGCTGCCTATGATCCTCCTTGGGATCCGATCAGCCCTAAAGGCCGATCTACGTATGTCTAGCGTCGAGCTAGTATATGGACAACCACTGCGTTTACCTGGCGATTTCTTCTCCGTTAGTCCCAGACTTACCCGTTACGACGCAAATTATGCACGTCAGCTAGCCACGAGCATGCGTCAGTACAAGCTTCCCGACGTTAGAGAACAACAAAGTAAATCTTATATTCCACAAGACCTGCAGCATTGTCCGTTCCTTTTTCTCCGCCCCGATGGTCTCCGCAGACCATTGGAGCGACCTTACGAAGGTCCCTTCAGGGTTCTGCAGCGTAAGGACCGCGTCTTTATAATCGACCGTCACGGTAAACGTGAAGCTGTTACGATTGACCGTCTCAAGGTTGCCCACTTGGAACCTGAGCTCGACGAAGACCCTTACTTGTCTTCTGACGAATCAACGCAGCCTATGATGGAAGACTCGACTGCTTCCAACATCCCTGACCCCAAGTATCACCCTCCATCCAAGCCTTCTACTTCAGCTCCGTCGCTTCCCATCGAACCAACTACCACGTCTTCAGCAGTTCCTCCAATTTGGCGATCCGATAGGACGTCTAAGACCACGCCTTCCTCTGATTCGCACAAGTCGACTAGGTCGGGTAGACGCGTTCATTGGCCAGCTCGATTAAGGGATTAGTGCTTCTTTCATTTTCCTTATCGTTTTTCTTTTCCCTTTTGGCCAACAACGTACCAACCCCCCCAAAAAGCTTTTGAAAACGACAAAAAAACCGACAAAAGTTTTTTTGAAAACCCAAAAGAATGCAAAACGTTTTGAAAACCCAAAAAAGCATAAAACGTTTTGAAAACACAAAAGAGCTGCGTTTTGGCTGACGCCTACCTCATCCGGTAAGTGTCACTTTTGCTTTTGCCCTCGCCCTCACCGTCACTGCTCTTGTTTACGTTTATCTTCCATGTATGAACCGGAGGAGATGCCGAGGCTGAAGGGAACACTTGACCTCCACGAACTCGCGAACATTTAACGCTTCCCCCATTTTGTGTTTTTGGCACCGTTAGGGAGGACACGGGTGGGAGCCCGCTAGGGTCCGATCGCCTGGTTCTCCCCCAGCAGCTGCATCAGGTTTCACTACCTGGTCTCGCAGAAGGCTGGCCCGCGACGGACAGTCCTCACGTAGATCGAAGGGTCACCCACGGTTTCCCTTCTAGGTGGGGGGCTGTGTAGTGACCTGGAGATTCCCCCGTATGACTGTGTAAACTATTCTAAAATACTCAAATTATAGCTTTCTCATGTATTAGGGAACTATTCGGTTTGCCTGTTGGAACGTTGTTCCCGTTTGTTGGAAACACGAAGACGATCTCCGCCTTTGGCGCGCGACTCGACTGCGAACGACGCTCTGTCAACGCACTCGACGCCAACGACATTCTCCCTAGCTAGCTCTCTCTGGGTGCCCTATTTTTAGCATTAGCTAACGCTCCTCCCGTCCAATAAACTTCTTCCCTAGTTTACTTTTGTGTCTTCTACCCACCGCTTTTGGTTGGCCGTTTAGTCGCGTACCGAGTTTATAGCGCACGATCTACGCGCTACAGTATTTCTTTAACGCGTCCTTGAACCTGGATAATGCTCCCGGGATCGTTTTGAAACCGAGGGCGGGCAAGAGAATACGCACAAATCACACCTCCTTCGATCAATCAATGCCCAATCTACCAGCACCAGCAGTCCCCGCTGTACCCTGGTAGCACACGTCCAGCTCCTGTACAGGTTAGCCCCCTAAACGTTCCTATGAGAGAATTAGTCTAATCCGAACAGGATCGTGTACCGTGAGAAGGTTAAAAACTGCTTATGTACCGTTTACGGAGAACCAATAAAAATAATCCTAGCGTTGACCAGTTGAAACGCACTGCCGTGCGCGGCAACCCGGCAGCACCAAAAACCTTGATGGCTTACAATCGATATCCAAATACGGACATCACACAACCGCGCACCTTGAACCTAACGAAGCTCATGACGGTTGTTACCTAAGATTCACGCACCACGTGTCGCCGTAGCTGCTAGGCGTAGGAACACACCTAGGAGGCGCTTCATGCTGCTGGTCAGGAAGCTTTTGCCCCTCCCCCCACACGCGTGATGTGCGTGCTCCTGGTTCATTTGGATTATTCCCCTCTATCCTCTCTCCATCTTCTCGCAGTGTTGTCACTGTACGCTCATTCGAACCGGATTTACCAGCCCTACACAGTGATCCATTACACGTTGAAATATCTTATACGATTAGAGGCTGCGCCATCACTAACCGTTTTCACTGGTATCTGTGGTTAAGTGAAAGCGTATAGTTCAATCACATTGAGCCGATTACCTTCCTGTGTGATACCATACAATACAGAATTCTCGAGACACACCGGAAAGACTAAACGTATTTCGATCCAGTGTTTTTCAACCAAGCTGTGAAAGAGTCTGTGGTCTGTCAACCTGTGTTCAGTGCTCGGTTCAGGTACCAGTCACTCACCATCCCTTGGCACCTTGTCAGCCAGTGCGGCTGCATAGCCCATCACACAGACTGCACGGCCACACCGACCGCTCATTTGATATTGCAACCACCACGCTCGCCTGACCGATGTACTCCGCTCACAAAGCCGTAAAAGTACAGAACGCTAACCAATGCACTGGGTCAGGTAACGACACCCAATTGAGTGGCAGAAATGCGGAACCGAAGAGACTCCAAGCGAATGGCATATGCGGCTTAGGGGAATGTCATCAAATAGTAAAAATCGATCTGGCTTGTTCGCACTGTTTGGAGGGGTACCATACGAAATGTGCAAATGTGTCCCAACCACAGTTACGGGAGCAAATGGCTCCCAAGCTGCAGTTTGATTCTGTACTGCGTATTCCACCATCCCCCTCGTTAACTGTTCGCCTATCCTAGTTGAGAAATGCGACCGGTTAACAGCAGAAGCAGATCAAAGGATAAACAATAATATTACTTCAATGGAAGCGAGTATGCACCACAGATGCGTAGCGGCTGCTAAGCAACGGAATGCTAAACAATCCGCTTCCCCTGAACCGCAGTCAGCCACCCCTCCATTTCCGTTGTCTTCTCCAAATTTGGTAGGACGTCGGGCGAAAACAGACTGTACCTACGGGAAACAAACAGTACTCAGGGTAACGAAAAGCAGGCCGCTCTCAATACAACCGGTTAAGCAAATTCCGCTTGACCTGACGTCTAGCATTAACAAGGATGCAGAAGCCAACCTCCAACCCTTGGTACATGTAGCTCAAATATCCCTTGTCGAGACTAAGCCTCCCAGAAAATAGGTTACATATGCAGAGATTGCTGCAAGGGTCAACCGAGAGGCCACCGTTGCGGCCTCCTCCATTGTAAACACCGTTAACGCGAATAGAGAGACAACCAGCAAAACATCAACACTTGTCAACAAGTCAGGACCAACGAATACCATACCTTGTAGATCGAGGAAAAGGATCCAACAACAGTGCCCGGACTGTTATATGCTCAAATGTCCTTGAATCTACCGTCATCACCTTGCGGGATAAGTTAGCAGACGACCAAGACCAATGGAACTCACTGTGCAGCAGATGAGTATAAAAGCCAAGCCCATAAACTTGTTACGAATTACTCGTTATCCGAAATCGCCACACTATGGCGAACACAGACTTATTCGAGTAACTCTAGTATCCTCCACCGACGTAGAAAACGTTTTGCTCTCCGCAAGCGCGCTAAAACAGGGATCCTGTGAGATACGCATCTATCCTAATGTCCCTTGGAGCCCGCTACAACCAAAAAGAAACGCCGAAGTGAGGCACAGTAATCAAGGCTGCCTAAACACAAGCTTCGTTCATGCAGTGCCAGCACATCCTTCTAACGATGTCCAAGGGGCCGGAAAGCACGATTTAGAACATTGGCGGTTCATTCGTGAGACACTTTCTTTGGATAATATTGTGGCACTACCGCCCATCAGGCTACCTCTCTCTC